GTGCTTCTAGGTCGTTTAGATCTGTAGAAGCTTTGGTGATTGGACGGCTATTGAGAATGGCTTCTGCTTCACTTAAGACTGTGTTAAGTCCCTCTTCGTCAAGACTTTGTACATTCAGGGTGGAGTTGAGAACCTTTCGTACTGATCTGATTAATCTTTCCCAAACATCTCCATGATGTGAGCCAGCTGGGGGATGGAAGATCCAATTAATTCCTTTCTGGAGAAGCCATTACTTACTTAGGCAGCCTTTGCAAAGTTCAAGCTCTTTTTTTCTTGGTCCATTTTTAACTCCCACCTCTACCAAACGTAACGGTGGACATGTTCCACTCCTCAAAGTGAGTTTTCCCCGCAGTTTTTACAGGATTTGTGTCAAAGCATTTTTAAACGTGTTGATTAAGCATCTTGTGGAAACAGAAGTTACGTAGTTACGGGTTACTCAGAGAGCAGCATTTCACAGTTTCTTCATTTAAGCATTGAGGGTGTTGATCTGAAGAGGGGTGGTGCTTGACACCAAAGGGTTGATCCAAGTTGAGCTATGTCATTTCTCAACACCTTTTTTTCTGCCCCTCAGAGGTAGATCATTCTGTATCTGAGAGCTGTTCATGCGGCTCAAACTAAACCCCCGGCTGCTAGGCTCTCACATTGAGAGGACAACGTGCAGCTTCACACTCTGAGTGAGGGCACTATCTAGACATGTAGCACATCTAACGACAGAAGAAGGGATACTGCAGATATACTGTTTTCTCTAAGGTAAGATGTTTTTATTATAACATTATTCAGGACACTTTTTTATAGCAAGATCAACTTCCTCTGGCATAAATTAAACAATAGAATGTTCTTTTATTGGTTACTTGTGAAGATTTTAAGATTGTATGACTGCACTTTTGTTAGAAACAAAACACATTTTCCTTCAGTTATCATTGAGGCACTGTTCAGAACTGATACACTGGCTACCGGCCAGGCATGACTTTTAAAAGCATCATAACTTAACTTGATGAGATAAAACTGTCTATTTTCATTGTATCTTGAGGCATATTGATTATCAGTTCAACTATGGGATTGATTTTTTGTGGTGGATGTTTTCAAAGGATTTGGGAATTGAAATCTAACATATTCTCAGTCATCCATGTAATGTGGAACAAACAGATTCAAGGAAAACAACCCGTTTTTTCCCCAAAGCTCTACAGATTTAACCACAAACACACTGGTCTCCTCTCAACCACTGAGGTTTAGATTTTCAAGCGTTTGATAGACTCAGATAATTATATTCTTATTACATGCATGCTACAGTATAATGAGCTGTATGATTAATGTGAGTGAATTAACAAGGAACTGAACTAGGCCTGCAGCTTTATTCTAATATTATCCTATGAAGAGTTGAAGGTTGAGAAAAAGAAAAAGTTAGTGAAGTGAATCTTAGTTCGACTGTATTGTGGCACAGACCTTTGTTTTTTCCTGACAATGAATTTGATGTTACGAGAAAAAAATACACTTAATTTAAAGTGTGGAATTTGGTCTAAATATGAAATGGAGCACGAGCGTGCAATTGTTTATTCAAATAGTAGTTATTTATTCATCACATAACATAAATTACATATTTATAATGTGTTATCCCGGCCTACTTTGATCTATTTATAGCTAAGAAAAACTGTCACACTTTGATTTGATAATCCTTTAGTTGTACTGTACATGTTGAACTGTAGGATATTAATACATCAAATAAAAAACACACAAGCTTTATTAAATTGAATTTGCAGAAGGAACAAACTTAATCTTGCAAAAGATTTCTGAGAGGAAGTCTAATCCAAGATGTGTAAAATATATATATTATGATATATATCACATGCTTGTCAAAAATATTTTGAGGAAAAAATCGAATTCAATCCCTGAAAGCTGGAGGTGGGTGATTGAAGCAAGCAATCGGCAAGCAACCACTCTCCCGCTGTTTTCAGAAGAGATCGGTCATTTTGGTGAGCACGTTGTTATTAGAGAGTGTGAGAGAGCATACACTTGACTGATTCAACCCACTCACAATAATCAGGAGACACAAGAATAGGACTATTGATTTCTGGATAGGTTCTACAGTTTAATGTTATTACCAATAGATTCCTTTTTCTGGTCTGCCTGATTTCACTCAAATCGGGAGGATGGTGTTCTTCTTTTGTAATTGGTTGATTTTGTTAACAGAAGATATTAGATACTTAACCCAGAACAAATGCACTAAAATGGCGAGCACATAATAGATAATCTATGTTTTATACCATGTTTTTATACACCCAGATACCACCATGACCCAGAATCTACTACTCAACACTACCTGGGAGGGATTGAACCCCTCCAATTCCTCCAGATTGAAGGAAAACCCTTCCAGCCACCAGAACATCACATTTGTGGATTTCTACCTCCACACGTCCTCGGTGGCTGCGGTCTTCACCGTCTCCTACCTCCTCATCTTCCTGGTGTGCATTATGGGTAACGTGGTGGTTTGTTTCATCGTGCTGCGCAACAAGAACATGCGCACTGTCACCAACCTGTTTATCCTCAACCTGGCCATCAGTGACCTGCTGGTTGGCATCTTTTGCATGCCAACCACTCTGGTGGACAACATCATCACAGGTCAGTGATGGGGAAGTTAAACTTGTTCTCTCTTGAAAGAGGATATATTCTGCTGATGTTCAGGTGTATATCAGT